GCCAAACTCTTTWCTACAGCTATTGTACCATTCCATATTCCTACCAGCAATGTATGAGGATTCTAATTTCTCTACACCCTTGGCAATAAATTTTTCTGCTTTTTTTGATTATTACTGTCCTTAAGGGTAAGAAATAGTCCTGTGATTAATTTAAGAAGAGCCTTTCTTTAGGCCATTTACATATTCAGGAAGCCCCCACTGGGATACGAGCCCATGGAGCGCTCACTATGCAGTAGGGTCTGTGCTAAAGAAGTACATGGATCATCTAGTAGAATGTTCACAATAACAACTCTAAAGTCGTTACCATTATTTTGCTTATTCTATAGAAAGGTTAAGTAACTTGATAGAAAATGGGATGGAGTTTGGGAGACACGAATTTCCCATATTAAAAAACAATCAGAGAACTTGGATATGAAAGCAAGAGTTTGATGGTCCAAATGAGGTTAAAACTATCTTCTTCCCCTAAAACAAACAAAACGCTTCTGGCAAATTGTGCTTGGCAGGAGTTTAGTATGGCTTTCAGCATCCCAACTACTAGTGGCTTTGTATAAGACCTCTATCCTTAAGTGTGGATGTGATTTATGAATATCAGGGATATATGCTCCCTACATTCTCTTAATGTGGCAAAAGGGAGGCAGTGATGGTCTTATCAGTTAATTGAGTTAATCAAAAGGGAAGTTATGCTATGCTGCACCTATCATGTCAATCCTTAAAAAAGTCAAGTGGCGACAGAAACGCTCTGGTTGGCCTTCAAAAACTAGGTCACCGTTAGTCTTAAACTGGCAAGGAAGTGAATATTTTGCCTATAACCACTCAAATAAGCTTGAAAGAGGATTCAGAGTTYCATATCAGAACTCAGCCCTGGCAGTCAACTTGATTTCAGCCTTATGAGCAGAAAACTGCCCCTGAAGTTCTAACTGACTAAACAGTGAGATGATGTGTGTCACCACAGAATGAAACCCCTGAAACTGTGATTGAAAATAAATCTTTCCTCCTCTAAGCTGATTTTCTCAGATATTTTGTCACAGTGACGAAAGGCTAACACAAAGCCTCTCCTGATAACCCTATCTGAACACCTTACATTTCAACATGGCAATGTGCTTATTTCCTTCCTAGCACTTTTTTTTTTCTCCCCTAAATCCTAACATAGCTGTTAAGAGGAGTCTGGCTGAAGCTAGAGTATCTTGGTTCAAATCTCAGCTCTGCTACTTTCTAATTATATAATGTTTACTATTTATATAGTGTTTAGTATTCTATTACATAATGTTTAACCTCTCTCAATTCCTTAATAAAGTGTTAATCAATCAAGGAATTTGTGTGTATCTGGCTTAAGCTATGACCAGGACTGAAAAGGAAAGGGTAGATATGCACGAGGTCAATCACTAGGTTAATGACAGAATCAACAAGGCAATCAGACAAGGGAGGAAAAGTAAAGGTAATCCCAAAGGAAGAAAAGACAAGGGAAACTGCTGGATTAAGGAAAGACTGAGAAAATAAAATGATTCCAAAGTTTGTTATCTGAGGGATATGACAGAGGTTAGTGAGCTGATACCAGTTAACTATTCCGGAGGGAAAAGGCGGAGTTTTGTCAAATCCATGTTTAAAATGAGTTGGCAACAAGGACACAATTGCAGATATTTGTTTTTAGAGTGCTAGAGTGGAGCGATGTCCTGAATAGAAGAAAGGGTTCAGGACAGACCAGATTTGGGTGTCTGCCCATTGTGTTAAGGCTGAAATCATGGGAAGAAACCCCACAACATCCCAAACACGGACCTGCATGGAGAAGGACAATTTTCTGGAACGCTTATGACAATGTTCTTATCAGTGGTAAGAGATTCTTAATATACACTGCCTTCAAATGCCTTTTAGGGGATAGCGATTTTCTGAAAAATAAAGCACTGATTTGGTATAAGGAACCACACACAGTAAGGAGGCATGTGTGCCAATTTAACCTATCATATAACTTTCGGAAAGTAAAATAAACAATGTGTTTCAAGTTGCCTTTATGAGGGGAAGCCTGGGTCATCCCCCTTCTAACAAGACCTCTTGCTATTCAATTTGTAATTGTACCACATTTCTCTTGTTGACATGGTTTCACAGCACTCTTCGTTCCAGGCTAAAGCTTCCTGTCATGACTTTAGGGCATCCTATTTGAAATAACTGGACCTTCTGACCTGGCAATCTGCTAAGACCTTTTTGGATAGCTGAACTGTAGATAAAAATCTTCCAGGGAAGTAGGTGTGGGCAGGATGTGCGGTTTCCCTGCCTCTCATTTGAAGGCTGATTCAGTTAATTTTTCATAAATAGTCTCTTACAGTAAAGTTGCATCCCACAGTGTTTTAAGTGAAATTGGAAATTCCATGCTAACTGCTGATCTTCAGTGTGAGCTGAGATGAGAGCACTGTCTTTCTGAATGGCACAGAAATGCAGAGCAGGTAAACTATGCCCCCTATTGTAACCTAAATCCAGCCCCCTCTACTAGTGTGACCTTGAAAACTTGAACTAGCTATAACAACAACACAGAGTAGAGAATGCACTTGTTTACCAAATAACCTGGAACTGAGCCAGGAAGATTTAATACATGCCTCAGTTGGCTCTGAATGTATGCACAGCAGCCTGAACTGGAGAAAACATTTCTAAACTTTTAGTGATATAACACACAGATTTTTTCTCTGACATTCCAGGCTTAGCCACTGTCTGAGTTAACAGTCTGCAAAACATCTGGGGTATATGTTTCTGGAAAAAATCCTTTGTACGATTCTCTCTGGTCTGATCACTCTAAACTCTGGCTTCTAGAGTCTCTGTAGTCAGATTACCTGTAGGGCTGGGGAAGCTGTCCCACAGCACTGAACATTAACTGAACTGAATACAGTTTAATTTCTCTCCTTAACCATCTATACAGGGCCATATGGGAACAAAGCACAGAGCAGAGAAAGATTCAGGCATGAATCAAATGCACATGTTGTTACTGAAAAATTATTTTCTCTCTAGAAAAATAGAGGCTTATTTTGTCTCAATCCCTGTTTTTCTCTTGTATGATACTCCAGGTCTGTAGGTCAGTGGAAACAGAGCCAGCATCTAAGATTTGAGGAATAAAATTAAGTACAATATCTCACCATTTGGCTTATCCATGGCAACTGAATCTAGGTGGCAAAGTGCTCTCACCATTCTGAGATGTCTTCTGCTACATTTCTCTAGCTAAAAAGCTAGGAAAAAATCTTGAGGACAGATATGCTTACATTACTTGACTCAGAGAAGTTTTTCTTTTTTTTTTTTTCTTTTTTTTTTTTAAAGAGAGAGTGAGAGGAGAGAGAGAGAGAGAGAGAGAGAGAATTTTTAATATTTATTTTTTAGTTCTCGGCGGACACAACATCTTTGTTGGTATGTGGTGCTGAGGATCGAACCCGGGCCGCACGCATGCCAGGCAAGCGTGCTACCGCTTGAGCCACATCCCCAGCCCATCAGAGAAGTTTTTCTAATAGAATAAGAAATTCTAGATCACCTCAGCATTTTAAGTTTATATCACCTTGGGTGATAATGCCTCTTTTAAGTACAATTCAATCTCTGTATTAATCACTGACCAATTCTTTATTAGGTTTATATCATAGACAAAAAAAGATTTAAGAGGAAAAAAATATGAACACAAATATTATAAGTGAAGGTCTTCTCATGTTTTTCTGTTTTATTAAAGGAGCAGAGCTTATAGGGAGGGGACAAGAATCTGGTTACTGAGGAGCTTCTGTTGTAGAAGACACGGCACCATTAGGAGCACAAAATCTCAGGCAGGACCAGCCACATAATCTGTGAGTCCCATGTTTAAAAATTACTAAGTGGGCTGGAGATGTAGGTCAGTGGTACAGTGCTTGCTTGACTACCATGCAGAAGGCCCTGGGTTTCATCCCAGCACCACAAAATAACAATGAAACAAATTAACAAAAGACAAATTTCTAAGAAATCTAAGAGAGTGGATAGCAGAGTATTAAACCAAGTGTGGGACCCTATGTGACTACACAGGCCACGTACCTATGAAACTGACCAAACCAGTCTATCTGGGCTTAAATCCTGATTTTGCCATTTACTAGGAATGTGATCCTGGAGAAGTCATCTGTAAAATGGGGATAATAATAGTCTCTAACTCATCAAGTTTTTATTAGTAAGACATATTTGAAAAGTRCTTAGAAGAATATCTGGCATATAGCACATACATTATCAGTGTATATAGTAAATATAGACGGTAGCAGGACTAAGTAAAGTCAAAATGACAGAGAAAGCTACAGTTATAACATTGTGAATTTACTTAACCATTTTAAACAGTGTTTTGAATTTAGGTTCCTGATAAGTAGAATCATGTTTTTATTACTACAACAATGGTCACCTTTTAATATATTTTAACAATTAAAAAAGAGATTTAAGAAGATACTGTGGATTGAGGCCAACTACTCATAAAATAAGACTGAAGAATAAAAAAAATGCTGGTTTATGCTCAAGGTTCTGGAAGCCTGTGGAGTGCAAACTGTCATGAAGCCAATTTAATATTACTGCTTCCTTTACGCTGAAAGAACTCACTGGGGACATCACTGCTCCCATACAGGAAATAAAGTCTGTTGTTTCTGAAAAAAAAAAAAAAAAGAAGAAATATATTTTTCTTTTCTTTATATAATACAGAAAACTTTTTTTTTAAAGCTATAGAACAGGAAATGTTGTTAATCATACAAACTATATTTAGATTGAGGGGAAAAAATACCACTATTTACAGTCAAAAGAAAGCTTGCAGGTAGTACTATATACTTTTATCTAAAATTTACTTGATATACAGAGGCATAAACTTTTGATGGGTACTGTTTATTAATATCTGTCATAAGAGAAGCCTCAGATTCTTCACTGAATTATCTGTACATTTTTTACTCATGACCATCAATAATTCTCAGGACTTACAGAAGACTTTACCATAAACATTTTATGGTAATTATTATTAAATGCAAAATTCTAAAGTAACTTGCCATTTGTCAAACAATTCGCCCCAGATACACAGATTTGGGATACTTCTCCTTAAGAGTTGGCCACTGAACAATGAAGTGATCTGAGAGATGAAACAGAATCTTCCCAGAGAGGGATAAAGTTTCTACTCGGCAGATGCTCTCGACATAGACGATGATCACTTTCTTCACTCCTAGTATTCCAAGAAGAAGGGCAGATATGCAGACAGGAATACATGTTCCTGGTCCATTACACAACACCTTAAAAAAAATGGGGAAAGTCAAATTAAAATACAGAAGACTAATTTAAGTGAGGCATTCTGTATTAAGAACAGTCTGATCTTCAAGGGGATTTATTAGTCTAATAAGTCTTTCCTTGTGAAGAACCAGGACGTAGCAAACTGTGTGTTGAAGCCTCTGCACTGAGGAGCCCTGTGGAGATGTACGGTCTTGTTGTTCCTGTTTACCAACTGTGTGTCTTGGGGCAGATAACTTAACCTCTAACTTCTAGCCCAGTGCCTGGGGCTCACTCAGCACTCAGGGGACAAATGTATGTGTTGCTCTTCTCTGCTTCATGGATCTTGAATGTCAAACAAATAGAATTCTGCTAATTTTATAGAAAGCTAATGGTTAAAAAATAGTTGAATAATCTAACAAGGGAAATAAAAATTCAACTCCTAGAGCAACTGCAAAGAATTTTTATGTCTTTGAGGAAATGAGAGAAAACCTATTTCAAAGAATTGCAGGTAAGATAATTTATTACTATTTTCAGAGGAAAAAATTTATACAATATCTTAATTATATGTTCCTGTTGACTAAATTAGTAAAACCTAATAAAGCATTTTACGTCCCAAACCATAAAACAGGAGGTTTGTGGTTGTCTGCAACATGCCTATTGAGCATGATCTAAAATGGCACATGATCTTTACAGTACATAGTCCACAAAACTTATCAGACATCAGAGAATCTGACAGAGGGAAGGGTCTTCAGATACAATGTTTAGCCATCCCAGCATTTTAGGGGTTCTCCCAGACTGACCAATGACAGAGAAACAGACATCCTGACTCCCTGTGAACATGGTCAGAACTATAAAGGTTCGATAAAGGTCATCTGGTCCAGGCTCCATGGAGGAACCCATTCACACAGCTTTGGAAAGAGACAGTTTTAGGTGGGATCTTTCTATCTTCACTGTAAACCCCCTTTCTTTCATGCAGAACATTTATAGAGTCTTTCTCTTGAATTACAGCAACTCAATGCTGCCTTCCAGACATATCTTTAATTTTCCCTATGATATTTCTTTCTTCTTTTCTTTCTTTCCTCCTCCACCCCGCAACCTTTCCTTTCAAGATAGTGTCTTAACTAACTTGCCCAGACTGGTATTGAACTGGCAAGCCTTCTGCCTCAGTCTCCTGAGTAGCTGGGAGTATAGGCAGATGCCACTAAGCCCAGCTATAACCTTTGTTAATAGACTTTCAAGATAAGTCATAGAACAATTGGAAGAGCGGTGTTAGAGAGCAAACTAGTTCTGTGACTTTGGCCAACAGAAGTAATGACAATCACCAGCATTATTTATAAGCAACTCACTATGGTCAGTTACTGTACTAAAACACTTTACATGTATTCTATTTTAATTAATTCTCATGGAAATCATTGAAACATGTTTTATTAGCTCTTTTTTGCGGATGAGGAAAGTGAGGCACACAGAGATTGGGCAAGTTGCTTGATCACATGTTTAGGAGATGAAGAAGCTACATTGCTTCAGGGTACTTTTTTTCCTATGTGAATCAGTTATCCTGTCTAAAAAACCAAGGTGGGGTGGGATGGGTGGGGAGGACTGAACTAAAATAACTTCCCCGACAGTTTCAGGATTCTATGAGTCTATAATTAATTTGCATCTAATTTGTCTTATGTCTCAATTACAAACTTGCTCTAAATTCTTCAAAGCTAGAATTCTGAAAATGAGGACATTCTGGACTATGTAGGTAGTTTGTTTTTAGTGTGAAGCCTGTCCAGTGCATCACAGGATGTTTAGCAGCAACCCTGGCTCTTGTCCACAAGATTCCAGTAGTCGAGACAATCAAGAATTACTCCAAGCACTGCCAAATGTCTCTCGTTGACAACCACTGTATTAATGTATTTCCTAATCCTTGGATTATTTGTGTTGCTCTTCTCAATCTTCTTTTTAATAGTACAGAACAAAATAAAAACTACAGCTAAATAAGAATATAAGGACTGCTTGTTGAATCTTGAATGTCACAAAAATATTTTCATATTTACTGCTTTTTAAAAGTGTATATATCCATATGTGTTCACTTCAACAACTGGTTGACCCCCTATACACAAGCTATATATATACTGATGAAGACGATGGTACACGATTGGGTATTGGTGGGAGATACATCAACAACCTGGGACAGAACAAAAGTAGAAACTGTTAAGGTAAAAGTAGAAATTAAAAGTAATTTTTCTTGTTTATCTCAGTTGTATGTTTCCATATTTTGAGGAACCTTACTATGAAAGTCCCAGCTATGATAAAACCACAGAATCACAAATCAAGAATTGAAAAAAAAGAGGCGGGTAGATGTGTATGTAGTTCAGTAGTAGAACACTTGTCTAGCATGCACTGCATGATCCTCAGCACTATCAGAAAGAAAAAAAACCAACTAATCTTAAGGAAAACCACTTTTAATTAAGCACAGGTTTTAACTCTGAGTTGCAGAAGGCAAATTAAATAAAAAAATGTGGGTTGTGAAGTTTTTGTTATTCAAAGAAACATACCAGAGCGACTTAGTCCAAGCATTGAACAAAAATGTTCATTGAGACAGCCTGGGTAAAGATGATGTTAAACATTAAGGTTGGATATGTCTCTTTAGTTTTATTAAACAAAACAAAGCAATTTTTCTTCATATTTTCATTTCTGAAGACATACATTCTTAATGAATACAGGACCACTGCCCTGGCCATCTCTCTTCCTCATTACTCTGTAAGCTACTTATAGATAGGGTCCCTTTCTAGAACAATCTATACTCTGCATGTAGAACAAAATAGGCTGGAAAAAAAAGTAAGGATAGAAAAGAGCAAGTTGGTAACGAAACAGAGAATCTTTCTTTGCCTATCCTATATGGAGTCCAACACCATCCCTCCTTTGATAGACCATTTGAAACTCTACCATATATACTTAACATAAACACCTGACTGCCATAATGTCTGTTAACTCACAGTTTTTATTTATTCCTTCAATCATCTCACATCTGAACACCTTTTTCTTATGAGAACCACTACATCCCTTGCTCCCAATGTAGGTGTTCGAATCCTCATCTGACCAATATGAGAGGACATATGACTCCTGTCTGACCAATCACAGCATCAAAAGTCTCCAGTTCAGGGAAGAGTACATAATCCAGTCAGAAACTCATACACTTAGTAGGCCATTTCCTGGGGCTTCTGAGAGAGCAGCACCTTTTTTTTATTGGTTTGGAACCCAGGAGGATGTGAACCTGGCACTGTTAACATTTTGCTTGTGACCATGTGGAGAGCTTGAAAATGAAGCCATTACAAAGCAGAGAGCAGAGAGATGAAGACAGGCCATGTCTAAAAGGCAGTATTTAAGATCCATGAACCCAGCTGTGCTTGAAGGAAACCAGATCTCTCTGTAGACTTGTCAGGTATGTGAGGGAATACATTCCATTTTTGCTTAAGCCATTCTGAATCAGGATTTCTATCACTGGCAATAAAGAGCATACTAATCGACACAGTTCTTTGTCTACCTCTGACTGGCATCTGACCATCTGTGATACTAACCAGTAGGTATTCAATATGTATCTGTTGGATGAATTATCAAATCAATAAATAAACTTCTCCCAGAGCGGGAAGTCTAAGAGATGTACTAAAGATAATGTAAGTCATGGACCTAGAAAACAGGAGGACAGGGGTTACGTATTACAAACAGGAAGTCAGGGTTGTAGATGAAGACAGATCAAGGATTAAGAACATTTATAACAGGACTGCTGTCCTGTAGATTTGGGTCACCACAGGTCAAGTCCCATTGGCTGAAACATTTGCATGTGTGAAAAGACATATTTAACTTGAATGGTCTGAACTAAATTCCTTATCCAGTAGAAACCCTCCCCCCMCTTACAGAATCTGGGCCAAGACTTTTGAGATCTGGGTTGGTTATAGGTCAGAGATCATGTACTTGAAGATGAGCCAAGAGAAAACATGGGAAGGTGAGGCTAATAGCCATGCAGAGCAAAACTAAAAATACTGGATAAAAGTAAGACAATCATCCTTTTTAGTCTCTTTATCTTCCAGCCATATGTTTTCCCTGTTTGATCAACTCCAAGTGATACTTGTATGAAAAATGATAAAAGGCACTTGATTTCCAAGAACAATATTTTCTGAATTTCCACAGATGGTAGATGACTGAAGGATTCAGGAGCTTTCTCAGTTCCGTATCTGTGGTGCCTTTGTAGTGTACTTCTCAGCCTGTAACCAAATAGCCTTGAAAGTCTATGGCCATAACATGATGAACAAGCCTGATCTTGTTAATTTCAAACGGGCTATTTTGCTCTTATATGGGAAACAGGGCCCATATTAAGTCGGTAGTTCATTTCCTTACCCTGAAGTTCTATCATAAAAAATAAATACATAAATAAAATAAAAACTTAAAAAACTTTTTTTGTCAGAAGGGTCAGCACAGTGACTCTGGAGACTGAAGTGGGAGTATCACAAGTTTGAGACTAGCCTCAACAATTAAGTGAGGGCTCAGTGGTAAAGTACTCCTGGATTCAATCCCCAGTTCCAAAAAATAAAATTAGACCATGCCTGCTTAGCATTAGTGTTAAAGACCATTGTCAGGCAAACCATTGTTTTCCCAACCTTCTACTTTCAGTTGAGGAAACTCAATCTTTCAGTTTTCCTGTTCTCTGAACCAAATGGTCCAAGTGACGATTTCCTGCCTTCTTGGTCTTTTTTTGTTTGTTTTCATTGTATTTTCAAGCCACTAAAATGTTTTCACCAAGGTCTTTGAACCCTACAAATCCAGTATTTCTTCCTTTTGTTTTCTCCACACTCTATATTAAGCAGAGCTCTCAGAAGCAGAGATCCAAAGCTAGATGCAGTCTCAAAGAATCATATAGTTCAATCTACTCCCTTTAGCTTGAGGAGGAAGGAAAGAGATTGACATTTACTGGGCACCACTACTTGCTAGGCACAGAGCCTAAAGTGAGGCATTTTGCATAATTATAGTAGTTTCCCTTTTA